ATGCTCGCGAAAGTAATTAACAAACTCCCCTCCCCACTCCCCCTCACACCTCATTCTGCTGGGTGGAATGATTAATTTCTGCGTTCTCGGTAGATCTTTGAGTAACGACACTAAGATTGTTAAACTAGGTCAGCTCTCTTTCTTTATGCAAGTTACACAAAACTTCAGACAAAGTTTTTTGTTTTGGGTTTGCACCCCCTCCCCCCTTTCTTTTCCGGGGCTGTGTGTGCTTGTTTGGAGTTTTCTTCGCCCACATCCTAAGATCTCTCTCCCTGATCTGAAGTTTCTCTTTCCTAACGTCCCACACAAGCTTGCTTTTCTCTCTCTCTTTTTCAAATCTGACCCACCTTCTGTGCTCCAACAGCCTGGCAAGGAAGAGGCTAAAAACAGCCCCATGCAGAAGCACCAGCTGCTGGGAAGGATCATCTTTTTCATTGCAGACAGCAACCCATGGCTTCTTGCAGAGAGAGGTCTTCCCAGAAAGTTTGGGTGGGTTTCCCTTCCTTTGCACTCCCAGATCCACAACTTTATTCGTGCACAGCACTTCCTCCTCTGGGAGGCGGGGACGTGCCGCGCGCCCCCGAGCTGGATTCCAACTCCCTTGGGAGTGGCTAGGCAGTCTCACTCCTTGTAGCATGCCAAGACCATTGTGTGCCTCCTGAGTCCTGGGAAAGCACTTCTCGCTGTCCTGTTGCTGCAGGGTCATTCGGATTTCACTTTTCCTCTTGGCCTCTTTTTGTTTGGTCTCCGCCTGGGCTGCTCTGGGACAGATCCGAGTAAATAGAGATGTCAAGAAAAAGGACGAGAGCAAAAAAATAAAAGGGTTGATTGAGGTGTACACATTGGAAAATCTCTCCTAGGAGAAGGCAGGCTTGCAAACTGCTCTAAGAACCACTCCATAGCAGGGAAACTCCCTCCAGATCAAGGGAATTGGGAGGTGGGCATTAGCCGCTACCCCGGGGTTCTGGGATTTAGGGACAAATCTCCAAAAGGGTGCAACTCTCCAGGCGCCTAAACAAGCAGGTGGGTTTTCAAGAGGGCTTTCAGCAGGAGTGGTTGGGTTCTGTGCAGTTTGAATAGCCGACCGCATCTTTCTGTGCCAAAGTAGAGGCTCGCCTGCCTTGAAAAGCTGCCCTGATTGTGGGGGTAGAACCCTCCTGGAAATTCTGCCCTCCTGCTCGTCTTTATAAGGGTGCTGAGCTCAGCGTGCCCAGCCACAGTGATCTGTATCTGAGTCTGTGGACAGCCTGAAACGATAGCGTGAACTGCCCTCAACCGTGTCCTTTAACTCTGAAAACTAATGATCATTAATGATAACTTCATGTGAACATTGTTAACCATTTTGCTGCTGATCTAGGTATGTGAGAAAGGAGAGAGACAGTGAGACTATGCAGAGCTGGAAGTAAAGTGACTGGAGTTTGGGTTATGAGAGAAAGAACATAACAATGGCCATGCTGGGTCAGACCAATGGTCCATCTAACACAGTATCCTGTCTCTGACAGTGGCCAGTTTCAGATGCTTCAGAGGGAATGAACAGAACAGGGCAATTTTGAGTGAGCTATCCCTGTTGTCCAGTCCCAGCTTCTATCAGTCAGAGGTTTAGGGGCACCTGGAGCATGGGGTTATGTCCCTGACCATCTTGGCTAATAGCCATTAATGGACTTGTCCTCCATGAACTTAGCTATGAGCAGAATTTGGTTTGAGGGTGGAACTTGGGAGAGCATCACTGCAGGAGATGTTGTTAATTCAAATCTTCTCTGGGAGGGAATCCTTGCCTCATACAGAAGGCGGAAGATTCCCTCAAAATGCCACACCATCCATCAGGGAACCACAGCACAGTTTGGTTCGGACCCACTGCACAGAGGGTGCCCAACCCCATCTCTCAGTGGATCAGGAGAGGAGACCGTGATGCATCATGGGAAATGTAGGCCACATGGGAGATGTAGTCCAGCCATGAAGTCTAGCCCGCAGAGCAAAAGGGGAGCATGAGGCACGCAAATCACAACTCCCATGAGGCACCATGGTGGCATTTCCGAATAAAAAAGTGTTTTTGTTTTTTTACCAAAAAGATGAAATTTACCATGAAAAAGTTAAATGGAAAAAAAATGGTTTTCATTACAATTTTCCACAAACACCCTCTTTCTCAGATAATCCCTAGCTGAGGCCCCCAAATTCATTCACACAAGCCACGAAACAGCCATCGGATGGCGATAATTTCCATTCACTGTTCACCTGGAGCTAGATCTGAACCTATCCCAAGAGGAAGGGACTAACTAGTCACTATCATAAGTAAAGAGAAGTTGGTCTAGTGATCTGCGTCTGGGAAAGAGGATACCTAGGTTTAGTTCCTAGATCTGCCACTAACCCAGCTGTGTAACCTCGGGCAGGTTACTTCTCTCACTTTCCCCTGCTCTAAAATAGCTTAATAACACTTAAATAAGGGAGGTTGCAAGACTTATTGCTCTGGAAGCTTGAGGCCCCTGGATTAAAGGCCCTGGAGAAGGAGAAAGTATCTTGTTAAGAAGAAACTAGTTTTCTTTGTCGTTTTCTGGATTCTAAACAGAGGTCAATATCTTGAGTACAAGAGAGTATTTCTAGTCAATATCTTAAACCAATAGTGCAGGGTGGGGAGTCTGCTTGTTAATATCCTAAGTGGAGATGCCAGAGTGGGGCAGTTGGATTGTGTCCAGGAGTATATGTATCTCTGGATAGCATGTGCGATCTGAATCTGAGCAGGTATTGGCACTTCTGGCGGGATCCCACTGCTAGGAAGTTAGTGCTTGATTCCTGTTCCCAGCCTCAGAAGACTAATAGGCAGAACTTCCTATATTTGGCAGTCCTCCATTCATTTCCTCGCGTGGCTGGAAGTCCTCATCAGGGCTATAATGGGCTGCCACAGTTCTGTCTCAGAGGAGAGGGTGGTTTGGGGGAGGAGTTAGCCTGAGAGATTAGACCCTGGGGAAGAAAATCTTGGAAGCAGGAAGGGCTCTTAGAGAATGAACTCCATTCACGCTTCTGCTGAGCCTTCCACACAGACCAAAAAAAAATAAAATACCATCTGTTGTTGTTATTGTTTTTCTCCCTTTCCTGCAGCCGTTTGAAAATGGGAGGGGAAAAGAAGGCAGGAAAACGAGTTTATTGCTCGTGTTCCCTGTAATCTGCACCTGATAATAGCCAGGCACCACTTTACAATCCGTGCAATTGTGTTGTAGTTGGGATGTGTGTGAAAGTGGGCAGGGACAGACAGAGACAGGTCCAAGGGTTGAGAGAGTGCAGGCAAGAGAGAAAAAAGAAGAGGGTCCCAGGGGGCCTTGTCACATTACAAGGATGGTTACAACATATTTGCATCTTGAAGTGTAGATAGGGCCAAGCCGGCTGAAAGCTGTACCCTGATTCAGGGACAGAATTTGAAAACAGTGTGATCTCATCTACTCTGCAAGATAGAACTAAGTTAGGCGAGCACTGCCCTGGAACTATTGGGCAGTGAGAGAGTGGCCTTGTTTTGAAGGGGTCTTGGGGGATAGGGTGGAGGAACTGGAGTTCCTTTTGGCCTGGATATTTCCAAATCAAACCCTCTGCCAATTTGGCATTAAAGCATTACCTTGTGTGAGCCTTGTTTACACTCAGATTTGCACGTGTTTAATTGAGGTCTTGTCTGTATGAGAAAGTTGCTGCTGTTTTAACCGAAGGTGTGATTTTAAACTGATTTAACTAAACTGGTGCAAAAGGCCACGTGGGTGCGCTGGCTTTGATTTAAACCAGGTTTTGGTTTGGCTGATGTTGATTAGGAATCAGTTTAAGATACATGAAAATAAACTACTCTTTAAACCAAAATGTGTCCACACCGGGTTTGCACTTGTCTAAGTAAATCAGTTTAAAAACCTATTTAAGTTAAATCAGTGTAATGTGTGTGTGTAGACAAGGCTTTGGTTTGGGGCAATTTGTTTCCTCATCCTACCTTCATTCCCTACTTTTGTCCCCTGCTCTAGCATTAGACAATAGCATTTTCACTCTCTGATGTGCTGGGCCTGTCCACCTTGGAGGGGGAAATGGGCAGGACCAGGACTCTGCACCTGTATTGAACACAGACCCGCCTGTGTGTTTGTGATCATGTTGCCATCTAGCAGTTGCAGCCAAGAGGCTACAAGCCCTGTTACTGCAAACAGAATGTCTCCCAGGTTGCAGCTGCTGACTGTTATGGTATTAGGGCTTTAGGAAGACACCAGAGGGAATGGCTTAGAAATTGTAAACCAGAAGCAGTCCACTGAAATCTAGGGGCCTTGCTCTTGTGTGTGCTGAGATAGTCGAGCTCTGACAGGACTGGGGTCTAGTGGTTAGAGCAGGGGAGTTTGGAGAGCAGGATTATGGGAACCAATATCCAATCCCAGGATTCCTGACTCCCCTGCTCTAACCACTAGACAATGTTCCCTTCAGAGCTCAACTACCTCAGTGGAAACCTGGGGATTGGATATTCGTTCCCATAAGCCTCTCAACCTGGAGAGACAGACACCAGTTCCCATTATCCTCTCTTCTCCGGGTGTGTCTGGGATGCTTTCCTATGAACCTCAGTGTCTGTGTACCTGACCCTCTCTGCCGTGGGGGGTAGGGGAATAGACACTTTCCCATGAGCCTCTCTGCCCTGTTGGGCTGTCAGTCACTATTTCCCATGATCCTCTCTGCCCTGGGAGTAGACACTATTTCCCACGATTCCCTCTGCCCTGGAGGGGGTAAGACATTATTTCCCATGATCCCCCCTGCCCTGTTGGGCTGTCAGGCACTATTTCCCATGATCCTCTCTGCCCTGGGAGTAGACACTATTTCCCATGATTCCCTCTGCCCTGGAGGGGGTAAGACATTATTTCCCATGATCCCCTCTGCCCTGTGGGGCTGTCAGTCACTATTTCCCATGATCCCCTCTGTCCGGGTGGGGAGTTGGACAAATATTTCCCATGAGCCCCTTCGCCCGCAGCGAGGAACGTTTGTGCGCGGCCCGTGTTTCCGGGGGGGAAGCGGCCCCTTCCGGTGCGGCCGGAAGCGGCAGTCCCATGGTCCGGCGGCGGGATGGCGGCGAAAGGGGCCGCGCTGCTGCTGCTGCTCGGGGCGGCAGCGGCGCCGGGCCCGGTGCGGGGCTCGCAGGGGGATCGGGAGCCCGTGTATCGGGACTGCCTGGCCCAGTGCGAGCGGCGCAACTGCTCGGGGGCCGGCCTGCGGCACTTCCGCTCCCGGCAGCCGCTCTACATGAGCCTGACAGGTACCGCCCCGCCCCTCGCCTCTCCCCCTCCGCCTGAGCCCCGCCCCCTCGGGGTCCTGGCCACGCCCACTCCTCTTAGAGCCCCTCCCTTTTAGGGGGGGTATCCGACCCCCTGCTCCTCTTAGTGGCCTGGCAGCAGCCCCTCTCCTGGCTCCATTGCTGATGCCCCCCCCGGCTGTGCCTCCCCCCTCCCGCTCCTTGTCCTCACCCCTGATCCCTCATCCCCTAGTCCCCAGCACGTGCATGCTCTGGCATTCCCAGACCCCCACCTGTATGGCACCTTTCCCCCCGCCCGAGCCACAAAACCCCTGCCATCAGCATCCTCGGAACCCCCCCTCCTCTCCCCGCACCCTAACGTGTTCTCCCAGAGCCCAGGTCTCTCCCTTCCCTGCCTGGAACCTGTTTCCCTCAAACCTCGTGATAAGTCACTTGAAAGGGGGCAGGTTCTGGGCATCCTGACAGAGGTGAAATGGGGAGACGTTCAGGCTGACAGTGCAGCTAGTGAGCCAAGGTGGGTGAGGTCATATCTTTTATTGGACCGACTTCCGTGTTTACGTAGAGCACTTTTCAGATCTAGGAAAGGTAATCTGAGTGTCGCAGCTAAATACGGGGTGGAGCAGGTTGCTTTGCATAAGGAGTGAGCATGCAAAAGACCATTCAAGGTGAAGAGGGCAGTCAACACCTCTGCGGTAGTAGGACAAAGGAGGGTTAGTGGGTTATAGATGATTGTAATGAGACATAAATCCAGGGTCTTTATTAAGTCCATGATTTTTAGACTCTGAAACCTAACAAAATTATGAATTTAAGGTCCCAGGCTAGTGTGAGAGAAATAAACTGATCCTGAGGCTGTTCAGAGGAACCAGTTTTGCCCTGTGGGTCTCCTTGCTATATTTTTAATCCTGTGGGTGGGTTCAGTTGCTTAGTTACACCAGATACCTCGGAGGTGCAGCGGTCATGAGAATGATAGATAACACGAGAGAGAGAGAGAGAGCACAAGTAGCAGAAATAAATTAGCCCCAACCTTTAACACAAACTGGATCACCCAGGGGAGAGGAGAGGTTTTATGGAGCCGATGGGACCATCTAAATCCATTCGATAGCAGTAGTAAAAGTTGTGACCCTCTGATGGCTGTTCCGTTGCCTATTTACTAGGGGTTGGGTGGTTCTCAGCACAGTTCTAGTGGACGGGTGTCCACATCCCACAACCCCCCGCCCTGTTTGGCCTGCTTGTTGATAATCTTAGCAGGTGTACTGAGGACTAAATGAGCTGCAGAACCCTTTCCTATAGAGGTGTCGTTTCCTGTTCCGACTGAGGTATGTGGGCATAGGGTCTTGCAGTGCTGCTGCCTGCACTGTACCTGCTCTGGGCATGTCTACACAGCAAAGAAAAACCCTTGGCTGGTCCGTGCCAGCCAACTTGGGCTCGTGGGGCTCAGGCTGGGGGGCTGTTTCATTGCTGTATAGACTTCTGGGCTCTGGGACCCTGCGAGGGTCCCAGAGCTTAAGCTCCTGCCCAAGTCCAGAAATCTCCACTGCAATGAAACGGCCCCACAGCCTGAGCTCTGCGAACCTGTGTCGGCAGGCACAGGCCAGCCATGGGTTTTTCTTTGCTGTGTAGACGTGGCCTCTGAACCAGTAGAAGGGCCTCAGAATCCGGAATAGTCACCTTTGCCTGTTGGAGATCATATTCTCAGCTTCCTTGTTTATTTGTGACTGTAACTTACTGCAAATGCGCAAGAATAGCAGTCAGAAAACGCCACCTAGTGCCAGTGCCTTCAGAACTTAAGGCAGTCAGTTGATTTCCTTGTACGGTAGCTTAATACATATGCAAAGCAGGAGATATCAAAGGGGATGTTGACACTACCAAAGGGATAGTCCGATCAACTCGTGCAATAGGCACATGGGTGTTGAGTTACGTTCCACAGAGACCTTTCTGTCCCATCCTCCTTCTGTCTGTTGGGGATGTGAGCAACCTGAACTGCTAAAATAAACTCTACATGACATTGTTGTCACCTCCTAATAAGTGGCTCCGTCTCTCCTCTTTGTGTCTCTTTCAGGCTGGACCTGCAGAGATGATTGTAAATATGAGTGCATGTGGCTTACAGTGGGGCTTTATGTCCAGGAAGGTTACAGAGTGCCTCAGTTTCATGGCAAGGTGAGCACTAATTTGGCACAGAGCCATTTGGCCCCAGATCATAACTCCTGTGACCTGGGCTGCAGCCATGAGAATGCCCCTATCTTTGCCTGGTTTGGCAAACTGCCAGCTGTTGGTTCTTGGATCAACCTTGTGGCAAAAGAGAGTCCTGTAATTTCAGGGAACTGCTTGTGCCCTGCCTATGGGCACTTGGTTCCAGTTCACCACCCTACCTGTGCCATGAAGTCCTTTGCTTCATAGAAAAGGATGACTTGGTTGGTACCATTAGCAACCTGCCAGTGCAGGGGGAGGGGGAGTCGTTATTTAGAAACTATTCATCTCCTGCAAGTTCTTTTGTCTGTGTTTCTCTCCCCTTGATCTCTGCATGAGAAACAGGATCTTTTTTTGAAGAGGTGATTGGTACCTAGTGCTGTGGAAAGTAAGGATGGGCTGTGGTTAAGCCTGGGAGTCAGTAGACCTAGATTTGACTTCTACCACAGCTCACCACAGACTTTGGAGAAGTAGTGTATGGCCAGGTTTTCAAAAGTACCATCTAGTTTAGGCTCTTCTGTTTTTTAAGTGCCCGCCTTAAGATGCCCAGGTCCTGTTTTTCAGCAGTGCTGGATGCCTGCAGCTCCCATTGACTTCAGTTGACGTGCTGGGCACTCCGCTGCCTCTGAAAATCAGACCCGCAATGCCCCAGTATGAACCCCTCATGGGACAGCTGTGTAAAAAGTAAAAATAAGAGTGGGGGGATAATATGAACGTACAGGGGGGTTACGTGGCTAAATTCATTAATGTTTGCCAAGCTCTCTGAGAACCTGGCGTAGAAGGGGAGAGGAAAGGCAAAGTATTCTGAATTATTTATTGTTTTCATATGTGCTTGAAGGCTCCCACTGAGAAGCCTCCTGGGAGCATCTAGCACGTACGTTTTTTTTATGAAGCGTCTAAACACAACAAAAAAAATCCTTTCCATCCTTAGTAAAAATCTGCTGGCACTTCTGGGTTCACTAGAGAGGCCCCAAAATGCCATTTTTCTGGCCCATCCCTGATGCCAGGAGCCTGTCAGGGCTTTGTGGATCTTGTGACCTCTCTGAATAGTGCATCGCTACTGAACCCAGGGAGCCTGGCATCTTCAAAGAGGCTCAAAAGAATTTTAAACAAGATCATTTAACCCCCCCGTTCCACTCCTGTTTCTGTGCCAAATGCCCCTGATAACCTGGTGAATGGAAGAGCCTTTAGCATGCATGTCTGGGCTTGACTTAGCTCTGATTTCAGCACTGATCCTGTTTCCGTTAGGCATCCTGAGGAATGAAGAGGAATGTATAGAGAGACAGGTTTGTCTTGTGCTTCAGGCACTTGGAATGGGACTTCATTCTTGGCTCTGCCACAGACTTCCCTGTATGACCTGGGGCAAGCTGGTCTCTGTTAGGGATGTAAAATGTTAGTCTTACCAGTTAACCTGTCTTAACCGTTAATCCCCAGGCTGGCTGGCCGGCCTCAGCAGCCCCAGCACCTAGAAAGAGGAAGATGAGAATGACTATGAAAGCAGGTGAGATTTAAAACATAGCTTAGAGTTGTTCCTAGAACAGAGTGTTTGAAATGTTTTTCACCTGGCGCTCCAGTCCGGCTGTTCCAGCAGGGTAGAAGGTTTAACTCCTGCCACCTCCAGCTAACAGGAAAGAAGGGAAAGCGTGAATTCATTTTGTTAACTGTGTCCCTCTTTTCCCTTCCTTTTTTAGTGGCCCTTTTCCCGCTTCCTGTTCTTCCAGGAACCTGCTTCCGCCTTTGCCTCTTTCCTTAACGGACTTGCCAACTTTGTGATGTTGACTAGATACAAAGCATCCGTCCCGCCTTCATCTCCCATGTACCACACCTGTATCGCCTTTGCCTGGGTAGGTAGCTTGAAAACTTCTGTGGAGTGTTCCCTCTCCTCATTCCTTTCATTCCTCCTCCCCAACCCCTTTATAGAACTTCCTGTTTTGTTTTGTTTTTAATAGTGACTGTTTATAATAACTTTCATTTAGATAGCGCTTTTCATCCCCGGCGATTTGCAGAAGGGATTGCTAAAATGCAGCCACCTCTGGAGTGGCAGGCAGGAGCTATTTGAAAGCGCAAGGGGTATCAGATCAGTTGGAAAGAAGGGCATCAGATCTGTTGAAACTGAGGAGGTACTTGAGGGAGGAAGAATACAATAGCCCCAGGAGGAGTTTCTCCCTGAAAATGAAAGACTCTTGTGTAATTTGTAGCTTTCACGTTGAACGGTTTAGATTTTTTTAGGAAGCACGTCCCTGCTAAACGATGGCAAAGATTTCACACACATTGCCCTTGATCCTGAAATTAACATGTAGCAAGTAGCCTGGCCAGGCACTGGGCAAAGGCCCACCCATATCTTGTCCTGTGCCCGGATGCCCAAGCAGTTTCTGTGATTCTGGAGACAGGGACCAGATTTTGGCCCTCCACTTGTAAATACTGGGTGTAACAATTTGTGTCCAAGGAGGAGAGAGTCTGGAGAATGAATGAACTGCACAACAGAATGCCTGTCTGGAATCCCACTTCAAGGGTCTTCTAGAAGCAGGTTCGCTGAATAGAGCTCGGCTCTAGCGTCACTTAGTGCATAGAGAATTAGAAATGAATCTTGACTTATCTCTGTGTCTCCCAGTGTGCTGACCACAACCGCAGTTATAATGGGTCTCAGCTGTAAACAGCTGCCATTCAGGGCATCCTTGTCATGAAGAGCCTTCTGAAGAGAAATCCTCCACAGCCCTGTTATTAATTTATCCCCAAGGACTAAATGGGAACTGGTGACAGAGAGATTTAGATCCTATTCATGGACATTGAAAATACAATTTCCTTATCTTTGGGCTAAGGGATGTGAGTGGCTATCGTGCCAGGATTGGTGAATGTTTGTGCTGGTTTTTGCAGGGCTGCACAAGGTGGTTATGTCCATCTCCGCAGTGCAAGACTGCGGACAGCTCAAAGCACTCAGTCTGAGGCATCCCGAGGGACCATTCGATCATCTGACCTCTAACACATACCATAGAATCTGAGCTCGATTACTTGTGTTTCGCTACAGCATCTCTTCCAAAAGAGCCTCCAGGCTTGGTTTGAAGCTAGTTAGTTCTAATGGTTAATAAAATGCACTGCTTTAAAAAAAGAAAAGATAGATACATTGTCCTTTATTATGGGGTCCTATTATGAGGTCATCCAAGATGGCAACAAACCTAATGTTTCACCCCAAATTCAAAGTTTTTTAAAAAGGTGAGTTGGTGGATTAGCAAAGATAATTCCTGCTCAATAGCTTGCCTACTTCTAGGACTGTGAAAGCAGTGTGCAAACTGTGTACGTGCAGTGAGGACGGATAGATGGGGGAGTACGCTACTCAGGTTTCCTTTAAGATGCAAGGAAACGTGACCTTGCACCTTGCCCAAAGGGGATTATGAATTCCCCTTGTGTATTGTTCCCAACCGCACATTATGGGACAGACTAAAGAACACTCCTCTTGAGTTAGCAATGAATAGTGCTGTGTGCGCGTGGAAGAGAACAGACCCTCTCCTGTCACTGTCTGAGGCTGTGAATTGCCATTTTAATGCAACAGATTAACTTGACTCATTCTGTATTGTTGAGTTCCTTGGGTCGCAGCCTCCTAGACTTGCTGCAGGTGCTGTACTGTGTTGTGCTGGATTATCCGGCTGCTCTGTGGCAGCCTAGTATAGCAATGCGCCTTCTCCCCCAGGGCCAATAAGAGTGCTGGTTAGTATTCTGGGTTCTGTTGGAAAATTGCTCTAGTTTAATAGTCAGTTAAATCAGGATGAGCGCCATCCGAATGAATCGAGTTACTCTGGCTTACGCCTGCCACAGAGAGCAGGATTGTCTGTTGCAAGGTGACTACGCTTCACTGCTCCAGCTTTCAGCACCATGCTATTTGATAGTATCAATTTTCAACTGATTAAACCGTGTTTGCTTCCTGGGTTTATTAATTTAGCCTTTAGCTTGGTTTTCCTTCCTCCTTGAAATGCGATTTATTTCTTACAGCTCCACGGAGGGTTTTTTTCCCCTTTGTTCTTATTCTTCCGTTACCCAGCTGTCATCTACGCCTTAAACATTCCATCTCCTTCCTTTAACTGCCTTGATTGGCCCCTTCACAGTGTCCCTATTGACTTTCTTTGGTGAGTTTACTTAGTACCAGGTAGAAGGACTTTTGCTCAGATGGTCACTGGATTATCTGTCCCCAGTAGCCAGGGCTCTGTCACTAAGTTTACAGTTGGAACTTCACAGGTACTTAGAATTTACCCTGGTCCAGTAAGTCAGGATTCTGCCTCCAGGAGACGCCAACACCTGATGCTTCAGGGGAAAGTGGAAAACATTATGCTCCTGGCTAACTGTGCACAGTTGCATGTGGTGGGGAGTTTTCTTTCTGACCCTTGTGGTTGTCAGTCTCTTCCCTGAAGCATGAGATCTGATTTACTCTCAGTGCATCATTTCAGATGATATTGATCATAAAGTTGTCCAGCCCTCGTCTTGGCCTTTTAAACCTTGTAACAGTGCTTGTGTTGTCTGGCCCTATGCCTGTGCTTTAGGGAACTGGTCTTATGAGATGCTGAGTGTTGTCAGCTCCCTTGGACTTCAGTACAAGAGCAGGCCCTAGGTGGAGGGTTGGCTGGTATCTGTGTAGAACAGGCTTGTGTTCGACAGTGTTTTGTGACTGTTGTGATTCCACTGCTGGATACAGGAAAGGATTCTCCCGTAGGCTTTGTCGGCACTGGGAGTTGGAATGCTACTAACTATACAATCAGAAATGCAAAGGCCCAAGTTCTTGAAGGTATCCAGAGTTCTCCTCTCAGCCTAACTCCTACGGAGCCTGCTGCCCAGTGCAACTCTCAGCCCAGAGCAAGGCACGCAGTGCATGGGGAGAGCTAGGTGCCTCAAGAAAGGATTTTTTTCAGCCGCTGGCTAGCTGGGTGGGGAGCTGCGTAAGCTAGCCAGCAGTGAATGCTGAGGAGAGGGACTTAGGCTCTGAAGGGGCTGGCTTGGTGCACACAGTCTGAGAGAAGTGCCTTCCTCTGCTCAGAATCCTCAGCCCTGAACCCTCTCCTGGAGGTAAGGGCTAACCTGGCTTAGGTGCCTAAGTCACCTGTGCCCTACCAGCCAAACCCCTGTCTCTTTGTTTCCTGTTTCACTTGATGCTTCTCTCGCTCTTGTTCTGCATTATCCTGTACCCTGACTGTCTTGTGTGGGTGCTCTGCAGCCTCTCCACTGATTGGTGGTCTGCCTCCAGCCCTCCTGATGTCAGGGTGGCAGGGAACAGGTGTTAGGTGTGCTGGGAGCACGCCGGCAGGACCAGGCTTTGCTGGCGAAATTGGAGTTCCTCCACCTAGTCCGAGAACCCGGCTTGAACTAGGGCCCCGAGCAGCTGTCGGGCAAGGTCAGTGCTTTGCAAATGCCGACTGCTGGAAATGTAGGTGCCCAGGCAGCAGCAGCTCAGTGGTACCTAAATGGTGGATTTAGACAGCCGTGTGCCGCTTTAGATGCCTGGGTATCTTCTAAGGATCTGAGCCCAAGTGCGGACAAGGACTGTTGTGTGCTTAAGCCACAATGAGACTTGATGTGGGGTGGCAGTTTATCCTACACCTGCTACTGCGGGTTTCTTGCACATTCCTCTGCAGGACACAGGGCGAGATGGACCATGGGTCTGACCCACTCTTGGCAATTCAATGTGTTTAACATTGTGTGGGCTGGCTGGGGTTAATCCCAGTGTCCTATCAAGTTAACGACTTGCTGACATGCTCTTAAACCCAACAGCATTCGCTGGAGACCAGGACTAAGCTGTGTTTGATACGGGGTGGTTAACGCATGTTCTAACACTGGGTGGCTTTCCAAGTGCAGACCATCTTTTCGTGCAGTTTTGCCATGGGAGGTGCAGTGACAGTCATGTGGGGTGGAGATGGCAGCTGATCCAGGAGTAGCATTGTAGGAAGTTCTACTACAACATCTTAGCAGAGCCTACAAAGAGGCATTTATGGGTGCTCCAGCAAAATTTGACAACCTTTGGATCCACTTATCACAGCACCTGCAATTACGTTCTAGAGCAGGCGAGGCACTGTTAATAGTGAGCAAAGGCTGTTCATTTGTCTCCAGAGCAGGGGAGGGCAAACTTTTTGGCCCAAGGGCCACATCGGGGAATGGAAATTGTGTGGCGGACCATGAATGCTCACAGAATTGGGGTTGGAGTTTGGGAGGGGGTGACGGCTCTGGGGATGAGGAGTTTGGGGTGTAGGAAGGTGCTCTGGGCTGGGACTGAGGGGTTTGGAGGGTGGGAGGGAGATCAGGGCAGGGGTGTGCGAAGAGGTGCAGGTTCCGGCTGGGACTGCAGACTCTGGGGTGGGGCTGGGGATAAGAGGTTTGGGGTTCAGGAGGGTGCTCCGGGCTGGGATCGAGGGGTTTGGGGAGGGGGATCAGGGCTATGGCAGGGGGGTTGGGGCATGGGGAGAGGCTCAGGGGTTCAGGCTCTGAGCGGCGTTTACCTCAAGCGGCTCCCGGAAGCAGTGGCATGTCCCTTTTCCGGCTCCTACGTGGAGGTGCGGCCAGGTGGCTCTGCACGCTGCCCCGTCTGCAGGCACCGCCTCTGCAGCTCCCATTGAAGCACCAGAGGGGGCCATTGGAGTGCGTAGGAGCCGGAGCCGGGCCATGCTGTGGCTTCCGGGAGCTGCGTGATGCGGCTCCCGACCCTGCGCCCCGGCTAGAGCACTGGAGCGGGTCCATGCTGCGGAAGCCATGTGGTACAGCCCCCAACCCAGCGCCCCGACTGGAGCGGGGCCGAGCCGCATGGCGCGGCCCCTGACTGGAGCGCCAGAGCGGCCCCCGAACCAGCGCCCCGGCTGGAGTGGGGCTGGGCTGTGTGGTCTGGCCTCCAACCCCACTCCCCTGCGGGACCTAGCGGGCTGGCTTAAAACAGCTTGCGGCCCATAGTTTGCCCACCCCTGTGCCAGAGCATTTAAGTAAACAACTGATCCAAAAAATGTGCACAGCCCCATTAGCTGCTGCCAGCCCTTGCTACAGGCTTCTTCAAATCCAATTTTTGTGGACTCTTGATAATGAGATTGACGGGATGTTTAGTGGAAACGTGATTCAAACGAATAATTGGCACTTAGCTAATAGCGGTAGTCACTTAATCCTTTCCCATCCACCCCATGGCTCGGCTAACGAGGTGATGAAGCATAGCTGCTCTGTAAAGGGAAATCTTGCTTCTTTTTGCAATACACTGGGCTGTATCCCTCCTTTAGCTAACTCCCCTGATTTGCCTGGAGTTCGGTGGGGTGCATTTGGCCGCTGTTGTTTACCATTTCCGTGTCCGCTGTTTTAGAAATCCTGCTTTTCCTCTTCACCCCTCTGTTCCACGTGGAAAGCACCGGGAAGTTTGTGCTCTTCTCCTCCACCTGCTCCCCACGCTACAAGGAACTCCAAGAGTACATCTACACTGCAAAAAAACCCACGGTAGCAAGTCTCACAGCCTGGGTCTGCAGACTGGGGCTTGTGCTACAGTGCTAAAAATAGCATGTGGATGTTCCTGCTCAGAGTAGAGCTTGGGCTCTGAAACCCACACTCCTCCCTGGGCATCAGCGCCCGAGCTCCAGCCCAGGGACTCTAACCTTTGCTTGGATTGTTTCTTTGCGCTTAGTCAGTTTCTGGTTTCTTTAGTTCTGCATGATGATTGATTTCACTCTGGCGCCTAAAGCTTCTACCGGTGTCACTTAGGAGCATCTTCTTCATCTAGTAATTGGAGACACCTCTGGACTCTGTTCCCTCTTTTCTACATCACTTTATTTAGATTGTCTTCCGCCACATCCCCACCCAACGAGGCTGAACTGCTTCAGGTTTATCCTTAATAAAATAAGAAAAGCTGGTCATGGTCCCTCTTGTTGAAGCTTCACTGTGGCTCGTGGGCTGATACTTTTGAAAGCGCCAAAGGGCATTATTTAGGTGTGGGTCCTATGAACATCTCAGGTATGTAGCCCAAAGCTGTTGATTTAATGATCTTATAACCCTGTTTGAAAGAGCTCATTTGCTTGCAGGGATTAAAGAGTTGCAGGAGAGAGAGAGAGACTGGAAAAAGCAGGTGTTAATTGTGCATCAGGAGGCGTGGAACTCTTATATAAGATAGCAGGCACCGTGCTGGAGGTACAATGTGTTTTCACCTAAGGATCGCAAAGCTTTCTCCAGGCATTTAATTAAGCTCACTAAATCCCTGAAGAAGTAGGTATTATTATTGCCAGTTCAGCTGTATAAACAGAATTGCAGTAAATGTCATCTAGGAGCTATGCCTCAGTTCTGTTTCATTTTTAAATATATACACTGCAGTGGAAAGACAAAAATGTAAACACTGAAAACCTCAAAACCATGTAGAAACGAGTTTTAAAGAGTAAAAGAAATTCTCCTAAGGCATTTAGGAGCTTCGTGCTCTTGTAGGTTTTACCCAGAGGTCAGGAGAACAGGGCCCTCGTCCAGCCAGGAGGCATGGGATTGTCGCAGGAATTACTGGATGAAGTTCCATGGCCTGTGATACTGCAGATCAGACTAGATCAGTGTAATGGTCCCTTCTGGCCGTAGGTATCTATGAAAGTGGTCGGACAGCGCTAGGGTCTTTGGCAATGGCTGGCGATAGAAGACTGTAGGTCAGGTTAAGTCCTCAGTTACTTCTGTGCAGTTCTGTTGGTGTCAATGGTGTTGCAGGGTGTACATGAGAACAGACGTCGACCCATCTGTTAAACATCCTTTCTGGTTCAATGGTATTAAACATTAAAGGGTTTGTAGACTTTTTACCCCCAAGTTATCCTTTTGTGCGCGCTCTCGACTGAATCCCATCTCCTGTGTTTCTCTTAGACTGTAAGTTCTCTGGGGCGGGGGACTGTCTAACACAGAACATCTAACTGTCTGCCTCTCTTAGGTTTCATTAAATGCCTGGTTCTGGTCTACAGTCTTCCATACAAGGGACACTGATGTAACCGAGGTGAGTGTTACCCTGCTGTGGGAGCTTTGCATGTCTCGGCAGTTGAGGATCTGCTATGTACCTTTGCTTCTCGACCCCCTGAAATCTACAAGGCAAACCCTGGGTGCAAATGGGGGTGAGAAACACATGGCTATTCTCTAGTTCAGTGTCTGCTGAGATGTGGCTGAGAGAGACCCGCCTTTACCTCCATAATGTTCTAAGATGCCCCTATGCTGCTGGTGTGAAGTCGGGGGGCTGCAGAAAGGGATCTGGTGAATCTGTCTGACCTGAAAAATGGGTTTGTGTAACAGATCTGTGCAGCCTCCGAGAGGTGTTAGTGCTCTCTGTGATGTGAGAGAAACCTACGAAAATGTGACTGTAAAACCACAGACTCCAGCACTTGTCTCTGACGCTTGGACTGTCAGCTGTTTGAGCCGGGGACTGTCTCTTTGTTCTGTGTTTGTACAGCACCTAGCACAGTGGGGTCCTGGCCAGGATTGGGGCTGCCAGGTGCTACTGCCGTACAAATACCAGAAACGGGCAGCCAGTTGTAGCATCTGAAAAGATATTGAATTCACACGGAGACGAGCTGGCTGCATTTCTTCTTGTACCCCGTTGTCTTGTCTGTCTAGGCCCTGATCCAGATAGAAGTGTAAATGGATTTTACCAGTAGACAGTCTCTCAGCATTATGGCCCATTTATGTTCACTGTGTGCCAAGTCCTAGGAGTGCTTACTCGAGCAAACTGTCAGTGGCTCCTGAGTAAGGATGGAGTTAAGTCCCCTGGAAACTAATCTGATATTGTTGCCTTCCTGTGCACAACATATGTTCAAACGACTCTTGAAAAGAAATCGTGGTAAGTTCCATTTGTGGAACGCTCAGCCCTTTAAAATCCTGATCTGTCCGACGCTCATCAATGTCTGTGCTGTCCCTCCTTGGCTCTTTTGTTGTTCTTCTACCAATGATCTAACCAGGCCTCTTGTCCCACAGAAAATGGATTACTTCTGCGCGTCCACCGTCATCCTGCACTCCATCTACCTGTGCTGTGTCAGGTGAGCTTCCTACGGTCCGGTCTCCCTGAGATGGTGGGCGTGTCTCTGGCAGCCCTGCAGCTAGATAAGCTGTAACCTGGTATTTACTTTCCTCCTCCCTTCTCTGTGCTATGAGAACCTGACTGCGGCTTTGTTTAGCCAAGGAGCTGGGGAGTGCCATTTCTCCTCACACAGTCTGAACTTCTGATAAGGGACATCAGCATTGCTGCGTCCTAACCTTCAGGAAGTGAAGGAGAGAGACCCATCGTAGGACTGGAAGGGACCTCAAGAGGTCATCTAGGCCAGTCCCTTGCACTCATGGCTGGACTAAGGGTTATCTGGACCATGCCAGAGCTGGCGTGTGCCCGCTCTAGGGTTAGCCACTTCAGGAACAGCAGTAGCCATCTGTAAGTGCCAGCGAGGTTTGTATTCTGCTAAAGAGGGCTGCTTGTGTCCCAGGGCTTGGGGCTTCTTATTGCTGTCTGTCAGCACAGCCCAAAGCGTTCAGCTGCTCTACAGTTTATGAAGCAAGCACTGGCGTACACCAGTGCCTCTCCGTACCTGGCTGTATCTGGGGCAGGAAGGTGAGCTATGAGATTCATAGTAGTAAAGAGGCAGAAAGACCTCTGAGTTCACGGACTCCTCCCCTGCAAGGGCAGATCCATCCTCTGCCAGGGGGTTGTGTCAGATACTAAACAGCTTCTATACTTCCAAGAGCATACGGCCAGAAGGAACTTTTAGATCTGCTAGTCTGACCTCCTGTGTGGCACCAGCTGCCCTAGACTGAGCCCAATTGTGTGCCACAGGGAGAGAAACAAAGATGCCATCGAGGCCCTGGACGGGGTGTGCATTTTGTTTTATCCCCTTCCTCTGAAGCATCGAAGATGGCCATGCCTGGAGATGGGCACTGGGCGGGGTGGGCCAGGGTTCTGAGGTGACACCGAGCAGTCAGTCTCTCTCTCTCAGGGGCGTGGCTGGCGGGTTCTTGCTCACATCCTCAGGGTCTATCAGATCTCCATATGTGGGGCTGGGGAGGAATTTTCTCCCACATAAGATTGGTAGTGACCATGGGGCCTTTTCACCTTCCTCTGCAGCATGTGGGGATGGGTCACTTGGCAGGATTATCTGGGGGTATCTCACTTAACATTTCTCTGCCGTTGTGGGGGTGCCCTGGGCATTGGTGCACCTCGGTCCCTCCTGTCCTCTGCCTGCGGCACAGAGTAATCCAGTCTCCTCTGGGCTGTGATACTTGGGTCTTGTTAGGTGGTTGGGGTTAGCATGCGGGTGCTGGGAGGAGTTGGTGGCGGGTGCTATACAGGAGGTCAGACAAGATGATCCTTTGTCCCTTCTGGCCTTGAAGTCTAGGACTCTCTGAGCTCTCCTGGGGTTGCAGGAGCTGGGGCGAAGCCGCTGGTGTGTCCTTTCAGGAGCTGTGTGAGCTGCTGGAGTTTGAGAGCTTCTCTGCATTGTTTCGGTTTCCATTGTAGGACCCTGGGTCTGAAACGTCCAGCCTTTGCTAATGCCTTTGGGGGTTTTCTGATCCTCTTCCTGGCCTGCCATGTCTCGTACCTGACGCTCGTGCGCTTTGACTATGGCTACAACATGGCCGCAAACGTGGCGATCGGTAAGGCCCGGGGGAGGCTGGAAGGTGGGGGTGGGTTGGGCGGGTCGGTTTTTGGTAGTGACTTGGAACGAACATGAGCAATGGAACTGTATATAATTCACACACAGCCACTTGGTGCTCAGTGTCGCCCCCTGGGCGGGATTTGGGAATCTATGGTGGTTGGAGAGAGTGTCTCTGGCTCTACTTTCTGGAGATGGTGTCTCCGAGCTATTCCACTGCACCTGGGTGCTGAGGGAAGAGGGGTTGAGCCATTCCCTGGGACTTGGTGTTTATCTCTGCTCTCTAGCACAAGAGGGGTGGCTGTTTGTCTGCTAAATCTAAGGACTGCAGCTTGTGTGGCTGGTGAAATCACCAGGACAGTCCTGACATGGTGCTAGACTGACTTCCCCCTTCCAGTTAATGGAAAATGCCATTTTCTGAGTAGCCTTGCGCTGCCCCAGACCCCTGCCTGCTTCAGAAAATACAGCCGCTTCAAACCGTTGGACGGAGTTCTTCATGGTCAGAGCAGCGGGGGGAGTGAGACTCCTGGCTTTGCCATTGACTTGTCTTGTGGTGTTGGGCCGGTCATTCTCCCCCGGTGTCCCCAGCTCTCCATGTTATCGCGAGTCTCACGTTACGTGATGTTTTACTTTGAGCCCCAGCTCCTGGCGTCCTGTTTTGTGAGAATCGGTTTTCATCGTTTTTAAAAGGGTAACTTTGCAGCCCTCGCGGCTTCAGAGGAAAGTTTGAAAACGTGACCCTGGGTGTGTTGTAAAGGTTCAAAAAGAGGAAGGCGACCAGAAGGCAGAATGGGCTGTAGATGGCTCCGAGAAGCTGACAGTGCAACTGAAGCCTGGGTGCCACATGGGCACCATGGCCGTGCCCCTTCCTCTAGCCACGCTCTGCTTCCTTGCTACGTTGGCAGCAGGGACGCTGATGTCCCTATAGCTCTGTGGCACTGCAGGATCAGCCTAGTACTGAGGCAGGGCCCAGAGTGCATTGCAGCACACCGCTGGGGCTCTCTGGACGGTGGGGGCATAGGGACAAATTAAGAGGAGCAAAGTGATCAGGACACTGATTGGCAGGCAGCTTGTTAATTCCCCTGAGGGTGATGTGTTCGGGGGAGTGGGGATAGGTGACTATGGGGAGAAGATCGGGGGGGATGGGAGAGGAAGGGATGTGGCAACGTGAAGGCATGGCGGGAAGGTTGGCAGTTGTGGCTGGAGGGGAATATAGTCTCCCCCCATCCTGGATCTGAGAGCTGCCTGCCTCTGGGGCTAGCCGGGGAGAGGGGAGCTAATGACGTGGCAGGGGCACATTTAAATGACGCTCGTATCGGCTTGTGAGCCGTGCTGTGGGTGAGTGACGCGAGGGCTGAGTCACTTACAGGGCCCAGTCTCTACAGCCCTTGGGCTGGCAGAGGACGGAAACACCCCCAAGAGGGTGAGCTCAGCCTTTGGGGGAGGGGAGGGGAGGCAAGGCAAGGCAAGGGTGGTCAGGGTGTTGGCAAGCTCTCGATGGAGCCTGATCCTGGATAGCGAGATCGGTAAGAGGAACTGAGTGCATGGAGAGGCTCCTGGAGTGGGGGTGTAACCGTGTGGGTGTGGAGTAGAGGAGGTGACTCCTTCTCTGCCCTTCCGGCTGAGCAGCAAACATCCGCCCAGCCCAAAGAGCAAGTCCTGCTTCCTGTGACCATGAGATCCTCCGCCCTGTACCTCTTGCCTTCCAGGCCTTCTCAACCTCTTCTGGTGGCTGGGCTGGTGCGTCAGGAACCAGCAGCGCCTCCCGTACGTGTGGAAGTGCGTGGTGGTGGTGCTGCTCCTTCAGGGCCTGGCGCTGCTCGAGCTGCTGGACTTCCCGCCCCTCTTCTGGATCTTCGACGCACACGCCATCTGGCACATCAGCACCATTCCTGTCAACGTCCTCTTCTACAGGTCAGCCCCGGGTACGCGGTCTCTGGGGGGCGGTCTGGGCGACAGAACTGTGTCATTATTTACCAGGCGACTCCCCCCTTTGAGAGCCACTCCCTGGAGTGGCTACAGCAGGAACGCAGACAGCACAGCAAGAAGCTCTGAAATGTAATCCCCCGTTATGCAGCCAGGCTGCCATATGCTACGGCTCCATCCGCTCTCGCCAGCTTGACAGGGTGGGTTAGACCAAGCTACGCCTGGAAAGGGGGTACTCTTGACTCGCTAGAAGGCGCTCTCCCTTCAAAGTGGGAACTGTCTCTAGCAGTTTCATGGTGAGTTCTTCCCAAATGGGAGCACAGTCCGGACAGGCAGATCTTACGACCCACCAACACTGACAGCAGGGAGGAAGGGAGATCTCGTGGTTAGGCTGCTGGCCAGGGACTCTGGAGACCACAGCCTCCCTGTTTGATCTTGGGCAAGTCACCTAATGTCTCTGTGCCTCCGTTTCCCTACCTGTACCGGGGGGTAAATGCATTAACAAGTCTGAGATTCTCAGGTACTAGGGACGGGGGGTATACAAGTATCTAGACAGTGTGCAGGATCCCTCAGCATGTAATTCTGTCCCATTAGTGTCCCACCAGCCCACATAGCGTAACCCAGTAACCCAGCAGGGAAGCCCCCCGGTGCAGAGCCGCGTGTGTCAGCAGCACAGGAGCAAACGCGGGGCAAGGACTTGGCGTCGTTAATGTTTTCAGATGGAGTAAATGTCATGTGAGCTCATTATGGTTAACAAGCTAACAGGGTGTGAGCTGTAGGAACTAATTATGTGAGCGTTGCCCTTTAGAGCACTGCTCGGTGGCGGCCAGGCCTAGCTGCTGCTCCAGACGGGAGCTCACAACTTCACTTCTGCCCAAGGACGCTTGTGCTGGGTAGGCCTGTTTGGGTCGGGGGTGGGGTGGGGGAGGGACGGTGTTGTGTCCAGTTGTGCAGGAGTCGGTCCCGTCCTCCCCTTTATCTCTCCCTCCCCAGGATCTGCATTTGGACATCACCCACCCAGAGTGTGTCTGTCCACCCTATCCCACCCAAAGAGAAGATACGTCCCATTCCCAAAGCTCCTCCCCTCGCCCCCCCATGCCTTTCTGGTCCCCTGACCCAGCTGCCAGCACCCCCAACCTCCTTGCAACTTCTGATCTGAGTGACACAGTCAGTGCCAAAATGTATGGTGGATGCAAAGTGCGGGGGATTTCGCTTCAGAGCCGTGGCTGGGGTAATGCTGACTTCCAGCTGCGGAGGAGCAGGCCCTCAATAGCGAACACAAAATGGTGGGTTCGGAGTGCGGCTGCTGGGAAGAGGTGCTGGCCTGGGACAGGTCAGACTGGGTGACCTGGTGTCCCTCCGGCCCTGGCACTACTCCATCTTGCATTGACTGGATATTTCCGGCAAAAGAGACCCTTTTCTTTTGGAATTAGCCTGACCTAGCTGCCACTGTAATGGCTTGGGTTCAAACGGGGCAGGTTCTGGCTAGACCCACCCCCGCGCGCCACGCTGCCTCTAACTCGCTCAAGCTGCTCTCATTATCCTTGCAGTTTCCTCCGTGACGACAGCCTGTACCTCTTGAAGGCGAACTCGGACATTCTGAAAATAGACTAAAGTTGTCGGGGGGGGTCTGCCGTGCGGAGAGGAGCTGTCCCCTCTCTGACATGCGAGACCTTCTGAGCGCCTTTCCCAGCAGCATGCCGGGTCTCAAGCCAGCTGCTCTCGAGAAGCGGTGATGTTGTGCTCTTTCATCGAGTCCCTGTCCGGAATCTGTGGCCGTGCCGAGACCTGCTCTCTGCCTTCTTTGACTCCTGGGTGCACCAGAATCCTGGGTAAACGTCACCCTCCGCCAGCTGAGTTTTGTTTCCTCTTTTCTTGCCTTCAAAAGTTTTTAATTCTAATCCCATGACTCGTTCTATTAGAACATCAACGATCCATCTCGCCCACACGCTCCCCCCCACACACTGTAATTAATGCTCTTCTGTGCTACCGGGCAACATGGTGTGTTTCCGTTTCCACTGTTATGAAATCTGTTTGATTCTCAGCTTGCTGAGGGATTTCAGACTAAGTGGGAAATGTTGGTGAACCAACTGGTGACTCGGTAGACTGGAAGATGTCGCGAGCATGTTGGGGGGACATCTGGTCATGAAGTTGTGTGGCCCACAGGACCTCAGACTCTGCAGTCAGCCGCTGCGGAAATGGGTTATTGTAAAATCTGTGTAAATAAGATGGGTGGCCCAGCAGGATAAGCTGCTCTGTACATTAGATTCACTCATCCTCTGAGAATCGAGCCTGTGGTTCCGTGCCGTGAAACCTCCTTCAGTAGTTGTGGGGAGGTGGCTCTCCCAGGCTGTGGGGCACTTGGGGGGCACGTGGGAGCTCTTTGCTGTGCAGAGGTGATGTTTTTGAAATGGGATACTCGGCGCAGTGTGAAATGCCAGGCTGACTCGGGCAGTTCAACACTTATTTTTCCGCTCCTTGACAAACCTGCTCTGATGAATCCTGTGCCCTCTAAAGAGGGAAATGCCCCTTTCTTGCAAGGAGAGGGGGCGCTAAGGTCCCCCAAAGATTCCCTAGTCCCTGCATACCACTTTAAGTCACCCACATGTTGTGGCCAGTCCACCATCCTTTCCGGCTGTCAAGTGCTGAGAAGGGACTCCCTGCAGCGCTGAGATGAGGGCCTCCTGGCTGGGGGTGGGGTGGGGAGGGTGACATCTGCCCCCCCGTTATTCCAGTTGCTGAGGGGAGCAGATGAAAAACAGAACAGGACTATTCTGTGCGTAATGACATTCCTGGCTCCCCCTTTGCCATTGCATTAGTCAGGGGCCTGCTGTATGTTACAGGATTAAGGCCTGACTGACTAAAGTGAAAGTCTGAGTGCTCTGGGCTCCGCTCGTGAAAGCAGAGAGACCAGGAATGCGCCGAAGGGATCAGCAAGTGCCTTCCTGATCGCCAAAGGAAGTCAATGAAGTAGATGATAGCTCATCGCAAAAGGTGTTAGGACTATTGCTGTATTGCTGTGCCACCACTAGGTGGCGAGCGTTGCCAATCCATTGACATTTCAAACTCTCCCTGTCTGAGGTTTGCAGCCGGCCAGCTAGGCTGGTCCATGTTTGCCTGAAAGCCATCTGGCATCCGTGTGCCCTGTGCCACCAGATGGGGCTTGGGACATTGGGTTGAGAGCCCATGAATCTGGGTGTCCTCCGTTGTATTGTGCTGTACGGTCTCCTAGAGAATTCATGCCTTGTGTCTGAATGGGCCCAGCCTGCGTGTGACCCTGTTAGGACCGTTCGTGGTTCTGTGAAAGGCTTGGTGTTATTAGCTCAGACTTCTAGTCTGCATGGGGCTGCAGGGGTTGATTTGCGGGAGTGTGTGTGTGTGTGTGTGTGGCTTGTTTGCAAAATTAGATTTACTTCCATTGTTAAGATAAAGTCCAGGTGTGTGGGTTTTGTTTTGTGGGGGAGTGTGATTGCACTCCAGTTGGGAACTGGATTTTGTTTTTGTGGGTGCAGCCCTGAGTAACCTCCATGGCTGGGCTGGGCTGCCCCCCAACTCACAGATGTGGCGCGAGAGAAGGGGGTAATACACAAGCTGGTCCGAGCAAGGGACAGGAAGCCAAGAACTTGCCAGGGGCCTGAGGTGCAATGAGTCTGGGGAACTTGGTCCCTTCGGCACCGACCCCGCAAAGCGCTTGCTCCCCAGTAAGGACCTGAGTGGTTCCATTGACTTAGCTGGGACTGCCTGAGGCTCTGATCCGGAGCCCTTTGCAGTCAGTGGACAGGTCAGACGTCGTGCTTGGCGGACTGGGCCATACAGAAGTCTGCGAGGACGATGGCTTGGAGAACGTGAGCGAAGCTGGGAAGTCCTGGCAAGTGGCTCCCTAGAGGACTCGTATTTATGTTGACGGCAGTTAGCACAATAGCTTGTGTTCAGTGGAAATTAGAGACTATGGCAGCATGGTGGTAACCCTGGAGAACTGTGTGTGTGTATGTAATTGACTACATACCATGATGTTTGCCCCTGCCTAGGTGCAGATGTCTGTCCATCTGTATCTCTGTCGCTGCTTTGTCTCATTGTTCAAAACCCAAACTCTTGAACTTAAGTTGCCTGTAACATCCTTGTCCCGGTGATGAGGAAATCTTCTACAGCCCGTATGTTTGTCCCAGAGTTTTGTATGTCTCTCTCTCTTCTCTTCTGCCTTCTCCCGTGTTTAACCTGCCCATCGCCTTCCCAGAGAAACCACCCAATGCCCTGGCTCTCCTCCAATTACAGAGCTTGTCAACTCCACCACTGCCCAGCTACACTGAGCCGCTTAATGCAAAGAGTGACTTCTGCATGTTCCCCAGACGGCTGTGGAAAGATCAGTCCAGACAAGCCACCTTGAAAGCTTTAGGAAAAGTAAAGGCCAGCACAATCCTGGTCCTTATCGCTTATTAGCCCCTGCTCCGAATTCCAAACACTCTCTTTAACCATTCATCTTGCTTCGCAGAGATCCCAGACTAGCCATTCCCCTGGGTGCCGGAGCCCGTAACTTTGCAGAGCCATACCCAGTGTGAGCGAACGCAGGAGTTGTCTGGCTAGCGGAGAATGCCAAGTCCAGCCAGATACCGGGGCAGGGAAATCTCAAGGTAAACAAGTAGACTCCTCTTCCTGCCGGGTGAGAGCCGTTTGCGGAGTGGTGCAGGTCCTGCCGCACAGGAAGGGTCATCCCCACGCAGGTGGATCTGAGCAGCCCAGGCCAGGCTCTCCATCAGCTCGGCGTTGACAGCGCTAGGCAGGCCCTGGAATTTCATGTTGGAAGTGGCATGATTAGAGACCATGCATAACTCTTGATGGGGCGCGGGGTACAATGTAAAGGTTTGGGGGGGGGGGGCGGCTGCCTTACGCATGTCCTCTGGGCTGAGGAACAGCAGCAGAGCCAGGAGGCCAGGGCAGCGGAAAGCGAGAGCCTCAGGGAGCATCTGATGGCAGCTGGTTTCCACTGGCAGGGGCTGGCTCCTGGCGGGATCACCGGTCAGCGCTGGCCTCTCTCAGGGGGCTCAGCTCAGAGCTGTGCCGCCCGCCCTGCCTGGGGAGTGCCCAGCCAAGCAGAGGCCGCCCAGCTCCGGGAGCAGAGCAGCTGGGCAGCCAGCCAGCGCTCCGGCTCCCACAACACAGAGAGTCGGGGGCCCGAGCGGGCTGGGCAGCTTCCCACCAGCTTCCAGTCCTCTGGCTCCTGGCAAGAGGCGATGGGGCCCCACGGTTTGAAAACCTGAGTGCTAAATGGAGGGCAGAAATCGGGGGGGCTCACGTGCCCCCCCCTCTGGGCGTGATGTGCACTGATCACGAGCAGTGAGAGGGGATGAGTGGAGCTGATAGGATGGCAGCTGGCGCCGGGTGGCTGGAACTGGCTGCAGCTTTTCCCACATTCAGTGCATTGTAGAGGGTTCCTTCTCTGGCCAGGGGAGTGATGTGTCTGACTCGCTGGGACCTCTCTTGCAGCCAGTGGATTTACTGGTCTCTTCCCTGGAGGGATTCTGTATCTTCCCGGCACTGGCCCATGTGGTTCCACAAGGCCAGGCCCTCTCCTCTCCCTCGTCGTCAGTCGCAGTCCCACCCTCTGGCCGTGCAGAGGTCCAGAGCCGTGGCTCTCAACCAGGGCTCCACCAAACTAACCCAGAGAGCAGGGCCGGCATTAGACACTCCGGGGCCCAGGGCTGAAGTTGAAGTCCAAGCAACTTAGTTTTGAGGGGCCCCCTGTGGCAACAGGCCCTGGGCCAGGCCCTGCTTGCTACCCCCTAACGCTGGCCCTAGCTTTTAATCTACTGGATATGCAGAAAACCAGTTGTTGGGGCACAGGTGGGCCATGGAATTTTCAAAGCATGTTGGGGGGTGCTCAGAGAGGTTGAGAACCCCTGGTCCAGAGAATGGCTCCTTCCCCTTGGTAGCCTCTCCTGCCTTCCTTACACCGGGACTGCAATAGGGCAGCTGGGCTCGCTTGCCAAGGACGGCACCCACTGGCGTATCTGCTGCCTCCTAGGTCGCTGGCGGCCTTCAGCCTGTTACTGGAAGGAGTCGCAATAGGCCTCAGTATCCTCTTCTGAAGGTGCTGCGACATGGCTGGGCTTCCCCAGGTGGGACTGGTGCCAGCATTCCCTCCTGGCACTCCAGCCCCTGCTCTGGCCCCTGGAGAGCCAGCGTCCCTTCTCCCCACTTGCTCCAGGGCTTGGCACCTGCTATGCAGGTCCAGGGCTCTGACCTCACCTTTCCATCCAGCAGCCATCCCAGGGCCTTGCCTTATTCCCGCCTGGTCTCCTGTAGTCACTGTGGCCTGAGTCTCAGGGGAAGCATCTCTGGGGAAAAAATGCCCTGCCTCTGGCTTTAAACCGTAGTTTTCCTTGTTTGCTGCGATTGTGCGTGTGCTGGAGCAGATCATTTTCAGGCCAGTTTAAAAACTCCTGTTGCACTGGGAGAGCTTGATCCATGAGCCCCTCCCTCCCCCTGGCTTTCCACCGGCATGCTGTACCCTAGCAAGGAGGAGGCATTTGGTGTGATGCTGTAGTTAGCAGGGTTGTAATGGAGGCTTCTCGTGGAAATTCTTGCCAAGAACAGACTGATGGCTGTGCGTGCCGGGGTGTACAACAGGTGATCGTACAGTGAAAGCAGGTGAAGTTTCTCTTGGGTGTGTGTGTGTGTTGGTGTGAAACGCAGCTCCTGGCCTCTGAGAGCTCTGTGCCAACTTCTTACTGAAATGTCCCAGTGTGTAATTTTAGAAGTAGAAAACAAACAGCACATCCTCCCTAGATAGCTCCCACCCAACGCAGCACATCGCGTGCTCGCCCGCTGTCCAGTCTCCCTCGGAGCTATCGCCAGAGCCTGGCATCTGTTTTTCACATGGAAAATGACCGGACATTCTCCTGGCATCGCCCCTGCCAGCCACTTCAGCTGGGCTTGGTAACAGAATTTCCTGAAGGTGACCTGAAAGTGCTGTTGGTGGGAGCAGCTGCTTTGCTGCGGGGGAAGGGGAGAGCATAGATTTGTGGGTTTCTTTTTCCTCCGTTTCCGAGGCTATTTCCTTTTCTGGTTATACAGGTGATGGGTTGGGATAATCTGTATATATCATGGTAATAAAGGAATGGGGGCAGATTTTCTATCACTGTACAGCCCACACACGTGTCGTATGGGGATGTGAATGTGACTAACGTGTATTCTATTGCTGTTTCACTTCTTAAATCAGCTCTTTGGAGCGTGATCAATTAATTTTATTAGACTTGGGTCAAGTCGACGATTATTGCAAACGGTGCAAATGAACCTTTGTCTGTATTGTTGTCCTGGTTTCTCTGAAAATAAAATTGTAATTAATCTAATAATCTTCACCCCCTTCATCCGTTGATTTTTTTTGCCTCCAAATCTCCACCTAAAGAAAAACCATTTGGAGTTGCCAAAAATATTAATAACCACTCTTTAATCCCCGCTCTGCCTCAAATCCTGAATTAAGTGGAGTGCTGTCACATGGCCAGCTGGGGAGTGGGGCTGGGAGGGTCACGGCGTCTAACTCCAGGCCAGGAAGCAGCCACCTCCATCTGAGGATCAGGTCCAGGAGTTACTGGTTTGGGATGGAGGGAGGATTGACTGGAAGAAGTGAGGGTGAGATGGGGTTGGTGGTGCCAGCTCTTAGATCTCCTGTGGTTAATAATGGACAGACCCTTCCACTACAGTTGGGAGCAGGGTTGGGCTTCCTACCAGGAAACCGGATTAGAGCAGGATTCCAGCCACTCTGCTGGCCCCCATCCTCTAAACCGCATGGCCAGGGTCCAGCCAGGAGACCCGGAGCTGCAGTTACAGATTTGGTTTACGCTCTTTGGATAAAGCTCGGCCCATATTACCGGCCTTTCCAGCGTTTGGATTGGATGGCGCGGTTATGATACTCTTTAGACAAGGCAGAAAACTCAGCAAGATCAAATCAGCAACTCAAAGGCAGGTGGACTCCGACCTGTGCGTTCCTGGGCCGAGGCTGACTAGATGTGAGGGAGCACTTGGCAGTCAGGCCATGGGGAAACTTCTGTGCTTCAGGATGCAAGATCTCTAAATAAAAGTAGTGGCTTTATTTCACGCAGCTTGTGCGCTCTCTTCCAAATCCTGCTCTAGGGACAGGAATTGGGAATGCGGAGGGGGGAGCTGTCACTGGGCACAGCAATGACGCAGACAGACCTGCCTCCCGGCAGCAGCTGAAGCTGGGGAAGGGAAAGTTCCACCTAACCTCCCTGGTGATCAGTTAATCCCTTGAACGGGGCTCGCTGTCCTGTCCCCCGCGGTTATGGACCGTGCTGACGGGTGTGATGTCAGTTCTCTGGATAGTAACGTTACACTCCCTGGCCTCACGCGCGAGCCTAAATCCCTCTGCGCCGCCTCTGGGGCGGGGATTGGATTTAAAGACTGGATGCTCATTTGAAGCCTTGAATTCCTTCCCCTGCATGAACTAGCCCCCTAGGAGAATGGGGCCAGCCCGGCGCCATTGTGACCCAATGGCTAAAGAAGTGGTGCCCTCATTACCAACCCTGCTGTTTGTACGGCACGATCCAAGGCAGGTATTTGCGTGTGGTGAAGAAGGAGCACGAGCTGGCGGGAGACAGCCTGGGAGACTGAGGAGCTGCCACATCCATTTTCAGTGACGTGGGGCACGGAGTTGGGCCTCTGAAAGACGCTGTGGCTTTAAGCTGCCTCGCCTCCCCAATGCGATCTGCAGGTCCTGCGTGTGCGAGGAAACTAGAGAGACTCACTTAAGCACCATAAAATCCCACCCTTGGCTTCCAAACTATTTTTTGCTAGAGCGAGTTAACTAGAGAGGGTCAACGTGGGGTTACTGTGCCCCCCACCTTGGGGAAAGACCTATTTCCCCCCCCCCAAACATTTCTTTAAAGGGTTGGTTCCAAATTAAACATCCTGTATTTATTAAAGTCGTCAGCTGAACTATTCACCACGTTGGGATTACTTAAATATAGACTCACAGCTGTGTTGTAGGCTGTTTGTTTAACGTTTGCACTCCCCCCAACTCGGAGTGAATCTAGGCAGCCCCGTTTGCCTTGATTTTATAGCTTTTATTTTCAGTGGATTCTCATGCAGTAAAACACAGGCTCAGTGCATAGCTCTCAGAGAACAGCATGGAATATGTATCGATAGCCACAAAATAAATATCTAGATAAAGTGCCATGGAAATCCTGAAAACATCTCGTCATTATTAGGTTCTCTGAAATGTTTTTTAAACATACAGTAAAATTCTAACCGTTGGGCCTAAATTATCTGGGGTGCCCACTAAAATTCTTCAGCAGATGGGATCGGGACCAAAACTAAATTGTGCTAATTCTGAAGTTGGAATCCTGCTGAAATTCTACCACGGCTAGTTTTGTCTTCTCCCTATACAGTGAAATTCCAGATTCGGTAATTTATATTCTGCCTACCTCCTACTTCCCTTTCACTTTCAGATGGAGTGGGAGGCGGTTTTTCATTACCTGTTCGAAACTCTTGTGGAATGTTACTGTCTGCCCTTTAGCAGCTGCTGAGTTCTGCCCCAGAGGTGGCTGCATATCATGTAAAACGATATGGAGAGAGAGAAACTAGTGCATTGAGTGCAGGATCAGGAATTGGCTGAGTTCTAATCCCAGCTCTTGCTCTCTAACTCGCCCCTTCTTAGTTTCTGTGACTCAGTTTCTAAAACAAGGGTGTTAAGGCAGATCTGCTTCACAGGCTGGTATGCAGATTAATTGAATGATGTAAGAACTTTGAACCCCCCCAAAGTGCTGTAAAAGCACCCGGAGCCGCTAGGAAGAGGCTCTAGAAATGCATGCCCCAAGTAGGATTTCACTCTGTCTGTACGGCACAAGGAGAACCTGGGTGCTATAGAAAACCAACCCTGCCTGATACTCCAGTAGCTGCTCAGGCCACGTGTGGCCCTACACAGACACAGGGGAACAGGACCTGCCATTAATAGAAGCGTAGAATTTATGAATGAAGAGACCCTCAGAGAACCAGCTAATCCACCTGCCTCCAGTTTTATTTAACCCCTTCACTGCTAAATTGGCTACCACATGCAAAGGAGATGCGCTCTGGAGCTGGGGGTGGAGGGGGCGTTAAGGAGAATCACGCAGCATCTCAGGTTATCTGCCTAGGATGGATGCATCTATTGCATGACTAGCTACCAAACTTCACTCTGCTGTGGGACGTGCATCTTAGCAAAGAACAAGAGGATTGGCCAGGCCTGCCTAGCCACGGGCCTCAGGCCACGGGCTTCTTCTGTGCGTGGACAAAGAAGACCCCACTCACGTCATCCACGCCGATTTTCAGGCTGGGCGGCATGAGGTAGGAGCGGAAGTCGTGGATGTAGTAGCCGCTCTTGCTCAAGGCCTCCTTGACGTCGGCCTCGCTCACCGGCACCACCGAGAGCTTGGCCTCACCGGCCAGGTAGAAAGACTCCTCTAGGGCGCCAATGAGGAGGAAGTGGCCCCCGGGCTGCAGCAGGGTGGTGACGTTACGCAGGGCTCTCTCGAAGCTCGGCCGGTCGGGGCTCACCGCCTCCAGGCAGAAGGTGGAGACCAGGGCGTCGGCCCGCTGGCACAACTGGGAGCCCAGCGGCTCGGACTGGTGGACGTCGATGGGCAGGATCTGCCTCAGTTTCCCTCTCAGCTTCTGCTCTTTCTCCTTCCACTGCTCCCTGTGCAAGCCAGAAAAGAATGAGGCTCGGCCGTGAGAAAGGGAGCGTGGGAGTCGAGCAATAGGCATCAGGGGGGCAGTGTACCCAGCCGCACCCAGGAGGGAGAGGGGGTGTTTAGGGTGCTCCAAGGGGGATGATGGGATCAGAGGAGCCAAAGGGAAAATTTTGGCCGAACCGGCCCACGGAAAAGCGCCACAGGGGGTGGGGTGAGAATTTTATGCCCGCTCAAGGTGCTGGGGTGATAACACCAGAGTCTGACATGGAGCATCGCCCTGCTTCGCCCCTCCAGCCCGCCTCAGTGCTGGAGAGATCAGAGCCATGGAGAGGGACCCACCCGTGGTCCAGTCTCCATAGCTGAGACTCCTAGAGAGGGGGGGTTTAGCTCGCTCAGGCTGGGTGCCCAGCTGCGTCCCCGAGGAGCCGTATAATGAGGCTAGATAGAGCCCTGGGCAAGCCAGAGCGGGGAGGGACTCCAGCACCGCTGGGCAGAACAGGCCTGACTTTCCGGGGGGTAAGAGCTCAGGGCTCTCTGCAAAACCAGCCCGATTCGGCCACGCGCTCACCGCGGCTGTTATCGGTTACTGAGCACCAGCATCACGTCCGTGCTCGTTAGAGCTTCAAGCGTCTGAGGCAGAGGGGCCACGCCGTGCTGGGGACCCTGACAGAAGGGGAACGTCGGGTTATAGAGCGAGATCTGTTCGTTTCCAGCTCCAGATTGTCCCAAACGCAGCGTGGCAGCAGGTGGGGTTCACGCCGACACGGCTGTTTTGGCACAAGGCTGTGGGTGACTCCCCTTTCTGAGTACAGGGTGTTCCCAGCTCTGATTTCTGGGGTCACGAGGGTGGGTGTGTAGGTTTTACTTTCTCTGCACTCAGGAGATCATTTCTCGCCCCCCCCCCCCGTCTCTCGCTGCTTCCAAGCAGGGTGCTGGCCCTGGGGAGGGTTAGCACTCTGCACCCTGGGGAGCGCCCTGGTTGCTTCGCAGGCTGGGAGATCAATGCGGGGGCTTTGGAGTGATGCCGCTGGGCCCTGGGCCCTACCCAGAGCTGGAGCAGTGACGTTACCAGACCCGCGAGTCCCCCCCCACCATCGCTGATGCTCTCCGGTTATTTGGAGCCAGCAATTTGCTTTCCCCAGCCCTGCTCCAGGAGACGCCCTCCAGCCAGGGAGGCCTTTTGGCAGCAGGGCTGACAAGCTGTGACGGAGCAGGGAGTGGGGTGTGGGAGTTTTACTGGGACTGTCTGCGTTGGTGATGGGGATATCAGGGGGTGACTTCACTTGAGGGACGATACCTGAGCATGTAACCTGAGCCCAGGAGGGGGGCTGGGGCCAGGTGACACCTTTGCCCAAAAGGCTGGAGGAGGAGCCGGGGGGAGGCTGGGTGAGACGGCTGGAGAGGGTTTCAGTTTGGAGCTGGCTGGGGAAACGGAGGGAGCCCCAGGGCTGGGGTCTCAGCTCCCTGCCCCGCAAGATGGACCTGACTGAGGGGGTCCTGTTGTCTGTACCTACACGCTCTGTTTTGGACTGTGTTCCTGTTGTCTAGTCCCGGTGAATCGCAGGAAGTTGGGGGGTGCAGGGCCCTGCCTCCCCCCACTTCCTGACACAAGCGAGACTTGGAAGCCGGATCCCTGGTGTGAGCGCCTTGAGCTTCCAGCCCCCAGTGGCACGCTGCCTGGCGGGCAGAGCAAAGCCCAGGGGGTGAGGCCAGGCGGCGGGTGCGCGGCCCCAGGACACGGGTTTGCCCGCTGGTAACTTTGTACGGCTGGCGCGGGGTGAGCAAAGGGGAGGGATCGATGCCCGGGGCAGTCACTGGGTGAGCTAAGCGATCGGTGGGGGGGGCTCAAAGGGGTGTGTGGGGCTGTCAGTGTGCGTGTGAACGTGTGGGACACGGCTGGGCGGCGGTGCGCTTCCTGTGACACGCCGCATGCACATGCCTGTGCTGGCCAACAACGCCGAGGTCACCCTGGTTCCTTTAACCCTGTGCCTCAGCAACCCCCCCCCCCACCCCAGCTGCCCATTGCTAAATCCGCCTCACCCCCCCAGTCCACTTGAGTTCCCAAACAGCGAGTTTGGGAATTCAAGTGACACCCTCAGGTCACACAACCAGCCCGGACCACGGAGCATCAGCCAGAGCGGCTGCTCCGTCCAGTCCTGCTCGAACGCCCTCGCTCCGGCCAGCTCTTCCCCCGGCTCTGGTGCCACCGACCAGCCTGGTTCGCAGGCTGCCCCCTCCCATCCCCCCCAGACGCCTACCCTTTGCCCTCAATCCGGCAGACGTGTTTGATGTACGGGCTCCAGTCGAAGCTGTCGGGCTCGCCCCGCACCCACCGGCGCAGCACCTCCCGGTTCACCTCCAGGTAGTCGGTGGCAATGATCTCCTCGAAGTGGTCGCAGGCGCTCAGGAGCTGGTAGATGGTGGGGCCGGAGCCGATGTCGATCAGGGTGCGGCCGTGGATGTCCCCTGGGGGGCGAGGGAGACCGGTACAGAGGGACGTGTGCTAAGGGGTGGGGAGGGGGGTGAGTTTTTGGGATACCCGCTTTGCGGTGGAGGAGGCTGTGAGAGCGGAAATGGAAGGAGAATTCAGCCCAGGCCCAGGCCTGGTCTCCGCTGGGAAGCGTTTCCCCGACAGCCGTATGGGTACAGCAAACCCTGCGTGGAGATGCCCTCAGTCCGGCCAAGAGTTCCTTTGCCTGGGTGGCTTATACCCGGTCCCCTCCGAGCTGAGCCGTAGCCGCAAAGGCTTTTTCTAGAAGCCACGAGACGTTCAGCCTAGCGGAGGTGAAGGGTGGGCACCAGGGCTCCTGGGTTCTCTCCCCCGAGCTGCCAGGGGAACGGAGTGTAGTGGTCAGAGTGTGAGGGGTGGGCACCAGGGCTCCTGGGTTCTCTCCCCCGAGCTGCCAGGGGAACGGAGGGTAGTGGTCAGAGTGTGAGGGGTGGGCACCAGGGCTCCTGGGTTCTGTTCCCAGATCTGCCACCAGTGCTGGCTTCAGTCTGTACCTCAGTTTCCCCATCAGTAACACAGAGGCCGTGACACTCTCCTCCCTCCCAAGGCAGCTCGGAGACTTCATCCACTGATGCCTGCAAAGCCCTTTAAAGGCTTATTTACAGCTTCCGTCTCACCCCAACGCTCACCTGTGGCGAAGGCCTCGGCCAGGCACCGCAGCTTCCAGGGCACCACGCAGTCCTCGGCGCTGAAGTCGGCCCGGGGGGGCATGTAGTTGTTTTGCAGGTAGGCTCTGGGGTTGAACTTCTGGTAGCTCTCCCCGACGGCCGCGATGCTGCTCATGGCTGGGGGATCGGCCGGGCGGCTCACGCCCAGCTGGGGCCGAGGGAGAGGCCTTTATAGCCCCTGCCCTGGGTGGCTCAGGGCGTCGCAATGCGCTAATCGGCCCAATCTGATTAGGGCCCAACGTGCGCCAGGCAGATGGGACCTGGTGCTCCCCGCAGGGCAGATGGAAATTGAGATCATTTCTCTAGCTGCCCCCCTCCGCCCCCCCAACCACGCCGGCCCCCCGGCCCAGCCAGGCGGGGAGGAAGCTGTCGGGCAGTGATTGGCTGGACATTTAGGGGAGTTAATGGAGGCTCCAGAGACACGTCGGGGGTGGGCTGGGAGATTAGTTTATCTTGCACCGGATGATCATTTGACAAACGTATTGAAAGGCGACTTTATTGTGGCCGTTCATCCCGGCTAACCAGGTTAGTGTCAGCGCCGGGGGGGCCGGAGCCGCGTCCTGCCGCTCCACCCCGACCGGCTCAGCCTGCCGACGGGCTCTGGCTTTTCACAGTGAACGTAATGCTTGGGAAGAGCAGAGTAAGGGAAGTGCCAGCTCCCCACACAGCTCTGCCGGTGCCCCTCAATCCCGACCTGCAGCCCCTGCTAGCCCAGCCCTGGGCTCCCCCCACCCAGCTCTGCCGG